GATAATGCTATAACACATTGTTTTATCTAGTGAACTAGTTTACATAACAGAGCAAGACAATATTGAAAAACAAATACAATAGACATTATGTTTCATTTGCATGTCTAGGCTATGCCTTAGATAAGGTGCAAAGACTTGTTTCTAAATGTCTCTAGTAGTGGTGCATCATTTGCAATTAAGTTTCCTATTTATATTTTAAGTTTAGAAAAGCGCTATATAGGTAGTAAGGATTCATAAGCAATCATGTGTAAAAAAAATTTGCATCTAGGAGCTATAAAACGCTTTATGGCATCCAGACTTGATGCAACCCAAAATCTAAATGCACTATCTAGTATCGTATCTTAAGCTTCCCCTTGCTAACCATTTCCCCCTAATAAGGAACATCCAGCACATATTCAGCAGTCTGACAATGCTAAATGAGCAGGTTCAAGATTTTCCTAAATGAGCCAAAGGTCTTTCAAAAACAGCCTCTCTACTTTTCCTAGGTAGGGGTAAGGTATGCGCGCACCCCTCCCCCCTCCCCGGCCCCCACATAAGGGATTTTACAGGGGTGGTTATTGTTGTATGTAGTATCATGCCCTGCTTATTGCCTCTTTCTGGAGATCATCTAACTGCTTTTAATGTAAATAAGAGAACCCTTGAGGAACTGTCTTCAAATTGGACTTCCATGAAAGAGGATGCACTGACCAGAATTTAGGATATGCTACATTTCCAAAAGCAAAGAAGCATGAATTCCTACTTTAAAATTAGGTGTCTGTAAGCATGAATCAAAATCAATGGAAAAAATTGTTGTAATGGAATTAGATTTAAAAAACGAAATCAGAACGAGCAGCAACAGAAAAGAGATGAGATGAACAGCAGAACATGTCAGTTTTTCTTACTCGTCCAACTGCTTACTTTCACATTATTTCCCATTAGATTCAAGTTTTTAGACCGCAAAGCATCAGTTGAAAGCATAGAGAGCTGTAAATTTAGTTTCCGAGGTAGAAAAATAATCTAGCAAGTAGAATAAAAAATTATGCAGCATGAATTCATGAAGGGCGAGTATATGTATTAGTGCATGTTAGCTGCATAACTAGAGCTCGTGTGTACGAACAACACAAATGAGTGTGGTACAAATGAAACAAATATCAATCATATAGTTATGTTTGAAATCGGATTCAAGCCCTAGCTTCGTGGGTATCAATGGCTGACTTCAGTATCCACCTACCGCTTCTTTCGTCGACTTCCTATAAACAAATAGTACATCGTCCGATGGATAGCACTGCTTCTGCAGTTGAGATCAGAGAAAACGGGTGCGCAAATGAATGGCGGATAACGGCGGAGAAATGCTTTCCGGTGGGACAGACGGCGGTCTACGACGAGTAAGGGAGGTGGTGGAAGATCGAATTGGGCGTGCGTGGATTTTAAGGAACGTCTTTTGTAAGTTTTGACTGATTGGTTTTAAGGCTAAAATCCACTATTGGTCCTTCAACTTTATTAGTTGTGCACGATTGGTCCTTCAAGTTATAAAAGTCCATAAATAGTCCTTCAACTTTATGAGTTATGCATGATTGGTCCTTCAAATTTTAAAAGTGCATAAAAAGTCCTTCAAATACACGTTAGCCCTCCATATGAAATCCTTTTGACAGTAAATGTTAAAAGCTAAATGAAATATTAGTCTCATATAATACGAATAGATTCCACTAGGTACAACTATTCCGTTTTATATGGAGCTAGTATTTCATTTAGCTTTTAACATTTACTGTCAAAAGGACCTAATCTGGAGGGCTGACATGTATTTGAAGGACTATTTATGCACTTTTAAAACTTGAAGGACTAATCGTGCATAACTCATAAAGTTGAAGGACTATTTATGGACTTTTAAAACTTGAAGGACCAATCGTGCACAATAGATAAAGTTGAAGGACCAATGGTGGAGTTTAGCCTCGGTTTTAAATTTGTTAATCTTTTTCTAAATAGAAATCATCCCTAATGGGACTAAAACATTGTGTTTATCCCTAAAATAGGAGTTCATGTTTTTTATCCCCCAACTAGGACCTCTCCCGCCATATTCTTTCTTTCTCTCCCGATTTTGCCCTCCTTTTTCTTTCCGCGTCACACTTCACAATCCTGCCCCGTCTACATTACAACTCTTTGTAATACACATTACCACATTACATACTATGACACTTTACATTACAATGGTTCGTAATATTCATCACCACATTACAGATTATGACACTGGTAATATCCACATTACATACTTTACTGGACTATCATGAATTTTTTTAATTGCATATTAACCATTGAATATTTTTATTTTTTTGTTATGCATTTAAATCCAACATGTCCACAAGACAAATGATGAGACCATATGATACAACAACCAATGCTGAAAACAGAAATTTTCACAGAATGAATCCCACATGTCCACATGTCCACAAGACAAATGATGAGACCAT